CCGCTTCTATCCTCCTCCCCGCCAGGCAACCCCTCTCATCCAGGCCCATTCCAGTCGTGCCCCCTCACTTAGGCCCCCTGCACCTCCCTCCTGGACTATCACAGCAGCTCTGCTGGGCTTCCCTGGCTATGGTTTTCTCACTGTCCAGGCCACCCCACACACAGATTCCAGAAGATCCTATTGTCATTCACCTGACCGAAATTCTTCAACTGTTCCCGTGACTTAGTATCCAGTCTAAATCGTTCAGTCATAAGCCTTCACAGCCCTCCTGGGCCGGCCTCAACTGACCTTTGCTGCCTTCTGTTCCCGTTAGTCACTTATACACACACTGTTGCCCAGCAACAACACATTAGTCACTGCCCACTCTGCGCACCAGTTCGTCCCATCCCTTTCTATATGTCTCTGCTCATGTGTCCTTGGACTCAGACCCTCGCAGTCCTCAAGTCCAACACCAACTTTCTTGGTCCGGCCAAAGCCTCTTCGATCCATGATGCATTTCTTGATGGCCCAGCCTGAGAAAAATCTCTTCTACAAATGTGTAGTGTGTTTGATTTATCTCTTTTCTTTTATACATTTTATCTCTCTTCTCTATGTTTATCTGTGCACTGAACCTTAGCTCCAAGCTCTCCACAGGCAGCATGACGTCCGGGCCCACACTGTCATGCTCAGGAAAGGCACCCAGGAAACAGCAGCTGAATGTGCACACCCACAGGGTCCTGCTGAGGATGTACCAGCACCTGGGGGGCTGCAATTGTCAAGCTTCTGCTCAGCTCCTAGAACAGTGCCTGGCATAGAGCGGCACTCCACAAATAACTGTTAAATGAACTTATCCACAGGGAGATCGCCTATTGGCTGTGGGACAGAAATTCTGTCCCCGCGGAATAAAACACAAAAGAAGACCTGAGGAAGCCTTTTCTCTCCCACCATATACTTAGGATGCAGGCCAGCTTCAAGTTCACTGTCTCCCGAAAGCTAGACAGCTGCTCTCAGCAATCAGTATGGCATGTAACGCTTTGGTATATTTAATGTGTCAAAAGTACTCAATTTTAACATGTAAGTAAGAATCATTCCTCAAAAATAGTCTCCTTTGGAGAACACAGAGTTATTCTAACAATGTCCAAAATCTTTTTCAGACCTCACCTTTTATATAGCCGTAACTTCTTTTTTTTTTTTAAAAAAAGATGTCTATTACAGAATGAACACCTTTTCTCATAAGGCTTTCAACTAGCTGAGAATTAAAGAATTTCAGAAATAAAATTCCCATCTCCTTATCCTTAAAGTAGAAGGTGTTTTTCAGGGCTTTCACTTCCAAAATTCTATTATGTAAGCCACTTTATAAATCACATACACAACAATCCTCATTTTTCCATCAAGTTTGTTTGTTGTTTTTTTTTTTTTTTTTTTGCGGTATGCGGGCCCCTCACTGTTGTGGCCTCCCCCGTTGCTGAGCAAAGGCTCCGGATGCGCAGGCTCAGCGGCCATGGCTCACGGGCCCAGCCACTCCGGGGCACGAATCCGCGTCCCCTGCATCGGCAGGCGAACTCTCAACCACTGCACCACCAGGGAAGCCCTCCATCAAGTTTTAACTGCCCCCCTCCAACCCCACCGGGCTCTGGCAACAACACCATGCACCACGTGTATCTCTGTTATAGTACTTGTCAATCTGTGATGTTACCTCTTTATATGTCATTTATCCCACTCAACTGTCCTCCTGGAGGCAGGCCCCTGACATGCCAGTTTCTGAATCCGCAGTGCTGACTGCTGGAATGTAGTCGGTGGCTCAGTAAATGTTTACATGAATCAATGACTCAAATCAGTTAATGGATCATAAACCTTTTCATCAGACCTAACTACTGGCTCCTTCCTACCCTCCAAGGCCAGAGAATTCCCATCACTGTGGATAATAAAAAAGGATGGGAGGTTTTTAAGGCAATGGCGAAAAAAAGTTTTGGATGTGTCCTTGGCAAAGATGGCATCGCTGTAGGAGAAGTTTAAATTCTTCCCAGCTAACACAGTACTTTAAGGAGGCAACATCCATTTGCACGTCTATGTGTCTTTTGCTCTGTGAGTTAAAATATTAATTGCATTACTTTAGAGTCACACCTTATACATGTGCTTCATTTAATTAGTTTATTTAGTTGCCCTGAAATATATACTGATGGGTAAAAACAAATTAGTGTAAATCACAACTTTAAAAAGATAGTGAGGGAAGCATCTAGTTCAACGTCCGAATTACATGAAAAAGCCAAGAAGACCCGCCCGCTCAGCACCGTGTACCCTTCAGTGATTAGGAAATGAGCTACTTTTCAGGTATCATCCAATCCAAACTGTTGTCAGTGTCTCCAGAATCTACAGACTGCTCTTCCCCACGTTCAACAACATAAGCACATCTTAGTTTCCAAGAAACCTCATTATAGGTTGATGACAAATTTGAAAAAATACTCTAAATAAAATTACAGACAATGACTCTGACATTTGGGCTTTCCAAACATACTGCTATGGGTTTAAGAAACACATTTCCACGTCACAGAGAGTTCCAAAGATCAGCATATTCTGCGGAGTCCATTATCTACTGCTTGGGGAGGCTTAACAGAGTGTGTTAAGGACCAAATCTTTTCAGATAACTGCTGGCACGTTGCTAGGTTTTGTATATGAAAACTGAAAACAAAAATAACCAAAGAGTTTAGAACTTTTCAGTTATAATAAATTTTCTATCAAAGACAGAAAGTATTATTTCATATTCTCTTTAATATTTTTAAAAGCAGCACATACTTCTTCCATTTAAAGGTGTGGAAACCGAGGCAAGAAGGCTCAATCATTTTGTTAGAATACTCTGTGCTTCAAAGGCAGTTAAAGTCATGACCCCAAACTACAACTAAACTCTCCAATAGCCTATTCTCATGAGAAAAGGTTTAAAAGGCTTATTGCTTAACTGAAGGATAATCAATGCAAGTTATTTCAATGACTGGACCAAAAAAGCTGCAGTAGACCAGTAGACCACTGAGTATCTCGGAGACCTGTTAACCTCTTTGTCCACAATCTCCCTTGAGATTATATATATATACAGGTATATATATATATATAAAATAATAATAATTAACAGGTGTCCTTGGTTTTGATAAGAATAATATTCCTGTACATCCTCACTGGACAGCTACGTGCTGCCATCTTCTACATTATGCCCGGTGGAGCGTAAACAATTTTTCATGAAAAAACAAAATCAATAAAAGTAGAACCCCCCACTTTTTCTGCCAGTAGTGCCCTCAGCAACAAAAGGGGCAATGACACCAACAAAGGGATTACGATACTCTCAGACAGAATTCAAGCAGAATTCTAAATGGATAAATTCATGTTATAAACTTTTTTTTTTTTTTTTTTTTTTTTGCAAGTGCCTTGCATGCTTATGTTACTATTCATTCTGAGATAGACAGATCATCAATGACCTTCTGGGTCACTGACTAGGGAGAAAGCCGACTATAAAAAAGAGTGGGAGAAAAATAAGAGGGGGGGTTGCTTCCTTCCACCCCAGACCCCCTACTGCCTTGAATGAAAGAAGACAGATGGCAGCCACCTTCCCCTTTAATTAGGAGGGGCAGCTCAGAGGGGACAGCCCTGCTCACTTGGCACCATCTTTAACAAACCGTTTCGATGGTAATGCTCTGCTCATTCACCCGGGTTCCAAACTGTTCTCAATCTTTGATTTATAAACCAAATCTCTGTAAATTTAATTATGAAAAACTATAGCTCTGAGCACAACACTGAGAGTGCCTTCAGAAAGAAGGTACTTAAAGATGTTTGCTGAATTAATAATTCACAGACATTCATACAGGGAGCCTGGAGTGTGTCAAATGAAATACAGACACCTCAAGTCCTACCATCACCACTTTGAGATAAAATGGGAACTCCCACGGCACAGAAGCCCGAACTTAAATTCACACTGTATTCCACACTAGAGTCAGAAGCTAAGACCCCTGACTTCTGCTTTCCAACGCTACAGTACAGACATGCTGCCCCCTTCTACCTTCAAAGTGTCACTGTTTAAGTTCAGAGAAGTCAAGAAAATTCTCCGGTAAAAGCAGTCCATTTTATAAGGATAATTTTAATTACAAATCACAAACCACTCTGCATTTCTATTCGTTTTGCATTTTCAAAACCACAGAACTTTGTATTAAAAATTTATCAAGCCATGTAACATCTCTGGAGACAGGATCAGCATAAAAAACAAACAAACAAAAATGTAAGATGGGCCAAGTGTCAGAATCAGGCTGATGTCACAGAATCTTCTGTGTAGGAGATGAAGCCTCTTAATTATTATTTTTTAAAGTTATTAAACATATTTTCTATAAATCTACAAGGCACGAAACTTTCTAACATGAAGGAAAAATTCGGTTAGGACTTTATACATTTTATTCCATTTTTATATTAATTTATTTTCCCAACATCATTAAATAACTTGTATTCTTCAGGTCCTTTCCATTTCCTGACAGGCTTTAAAATTACAGCCTTTTATCCAACAGCCATTCCCACCTACTGTCTGCAGTTCCCACGTGCAGACACCCCCCCCCCGTCCTCATACCTGTCTTGTACACGCACCCTTCCTGCTTCCCAATGGAAATAAGGGCAGTGAACTGGGGCTGTTTTGCTAGATATGCTCCTGGCTGCAGCTCATAAAAAGCCTTGTCTGTGTCACCCACCGTCATTTAATTAACGGCAAAGTTCTTGAACCATTTAAAAAGAGAAAAAAAGAGAACTTTTTGTTTTCTCACTGATGATAAATTTCAGGCTCTTTTTACCTCTTAACAAGCCAGCCAGCAGCTAGATACAGGAAGAGAGACAGAAAAGATAAAAGAAGCAATCAGCTATTTAACAAACTTCATCTCCTACTTCCCGATGAAAAGGAAAAAAAAAAAAAACCTTGGCATTTGCCAGATACTGAGTGTTTAATAATGTTAGCAAGAAAAACATGTAGGAGAGACCGACTAAAAACAAACAAAACTTACTTTGTTTTCCAGCACAGTAAGCAGGTCCCGATCCAGATGAGGGTTCCCTTCCTCAAGGCCCCTGCTTTCACTTTATAAGCTGTGTTTACACTTAACATCCAGGTTTGCTGTGGAACTCCAAAATGCCTGCGCTTCTCAGGATGCCCCAAGTTCACAGTTCAACTCAGAAGCTTCACCAAGGACCAGGAATCTCCAGGGCAGACCAAGGCGACCTCTGGGCGCCACGTGGCACCACTGCTGCTATTACCACACGCACGCCTGGGACAGCCACTTGTTAGGTCAGGAACCAGGCCACCAGCAGATAACGGCTCAGACGAGCGTTCAGAGACTTGAGCCTCTGGCATTCTCAGGTTCAAGGTTGGAAAATGTATTAAGACGAGAACCACGCAGTCAGCAGCATTCTGCGCCATTAACTTTCTCGCACGTAGATGCCTGTCTAAATAAGTGCGAAAGGTACAAAATTAGAAGGAGTGTTTTACTGGTGATGGTGATTGGCATTTGCCGTGTGCTGGGTCATACCTTGCTCTCTAAAACTGCATTTAAGAATCCTAGATCAGAAGTATTTTCATTTCCTCTGTGGAAACTACAGAGAATCAATTAAAAAAACAAAACAAAACAGGAAAAAAGTATAATTCTGCTTAAAAATGTAACCCTTACTAAATCTCATCTGGTTAATTTTTTTTTTTAATCCAAAAAGTAGGAAGAAAAACCCAACATATAAATTTGATGTTTGTTTTGAAAAATTACTTCATCCATGTACTGTCCAGCTCATAAAAACAAACCTTCTTCCAGCAAAACGGGACACTATGACCTTGTTTACTGCAGTGTTTTGAAACTGCTGTCTCGTAACTCCTGACATCACTGGACATGTATTAGCACCTTTACTGCTGTTGGCTGCACATGCTGCTACCCTGACTGTCTTGAACCACCTCTGGTTGAACAAATACTCCACACAACACTAGGGATACTGGCATTAGCATTAAGCCCACAGAACTCACATGATACCTTTTGTAAGTGTCACATCTCTCTGATCACTTTTACAAGAAAACAAAAGCATCCAACATCTGATACTTTTTCAAGTCCCAGCATCCAGACCTGGTACAGACCATTCTTTCTTCTGACCCTCTCCTTGCCCAGGAGAGGGGCTTCTTTCCTCACCGATCGCCATATCGGCAAGAATTTCTGCCACAGAGCTTTACTAACAGAAGATCCTGACCTACTTTCTTCCAATAAAAAAATTCCCACAAACTTTCCTAGAGGATAATTTATTTTAGCGTATTTTAGAGTTTCAAAGAGCACTGTTGTTGCATTTTCAATTCTGATAAAGTCAGATTTATCCATTTCTTTTTCTTTTGTGGAACACGATTTTGGTATTGTATCTGACTGTTACATTTTTAAAGAAATTATTTTCTCCTGTAAGTCTGACATTTCCCTTCTGTGTTCTTCAATTCTTACTCTGGATCTAGCAGAACTAAAAAAAAAAAAAAGAGGATAGTTGCAACACAATTTAATTGTGTAAGTCACAGTAAAATTTGAGTGAACATCTCCCATAATCCATCTCTTTAAATAAAACTAAATTCTGGTCCTACAATGATAGTGCAATTTTACAGAGAAGTATTTAAAAACCCAAGTTTAAACTATCTGAAATCAACTGCTAACATTCCCATTCCTTTCCTGAAACAATTTGCAAAACATCAAGCCCTCAAACTATAGTCACCAAGAAATAAAAAACACCAAATACATACTTGAGCAATTATGGCCCCTGTTTGTCAGAGAAGAATAAAAAGAAAAACGTCCAGGGTTAATAAAATTAATTAACTCTAGCTAAAGAACTACTAAAAAGACCCTCCAAATATCATGCTGTTACTATGACAACTTCAAAATTGCTTTGAGAAAATGTGAGGGATTTTTAGATTCATGATAAACCAAGTGTCATCCAGCCTGACAGAAATTACTTTCATTTATATCAGGCAGCAGAAAGGTTAAATGGCCATTTACAACTCTGAAATATCAAATCGTTACCTTTTGAGAGATGCTGCACTCTCCATTCAGATCATGAAAAGAATAAGTAAATGAACAGCTCTCTCAGTAATCGGAACCATTTTGATTTCAGTCCTGCAACTACACCACTCCTACGTTCTATCTACTTGGTACTTTATTTTTATAATGAAAGCAAACTCTGATGCAATCTGAAAGGGAAGGGACAAAAGAAAAAACAAAAACAAAAACAAAAAAACCACCCTAACAGTCTCTAGTTTCCAAATACAAATAGGTAAACACACACTCTGATTTTCTAGGCATCAATAATGAAACAGAAAAAGAAAACAGCATTTTTCCCTTAAAATTCCTGCTCTTAGGTATTTAGACTGATTTACATTTTACATAATCTTGATGGCTCAATCAGGAAGTGAAATTTTTAAGTGCGTGTGTTATGGACGGGAGGAATCACGTGACCCATAGAGCAAAGAAAATTATGCAGTAGACTAGCATGCTAAGAAAAATAAACTTAACAGGAGTTTAAAAATACTGTCTTTGGGATTCACTGAGCCATGAATATATTACGGCTTTTAAGAAATAAAAATTCATTCGGAAGCCTTGAAAATAAACCCTCAGGACGTTTTAAAAAATATTACGAGATCAAAGCAATGCACTGTGAAAAACAAAAGTTTAATTAATAAGGAAACTGTTTCTATGAAGATCATAACCGTTCAAGGTTTATTTTAAAGATGATTTTCCATGTTATTTGAAGATCAGGCAAGACATAATTGTAATGAAACGAAACATAGTTGCAGCTATGTATAGATATTTGTGCTTTATTTAATATATAGTGCTGTGTGCTCCTGGAGCACAAAGAAAAAACTGTTTAGGTTTATCCAGACTTCACACAAGTTTTATAGATTTCAAGTGGTTACTGTGTTTTATTACAGCAAACACATTCTCAAGAGGAAAACATCAACACCATAGAAATTTTCATCTGAGGTTATTTCACTCTGGAAACCAAAAAGTGGGAGATAAACATTAAGACACCTTAAAAAGTGTAATGGATTGACTGATACATGACTTCATCATATAAAAACTACTTGACCATAGTCTCTGTGCTGGTTGTCTAAAACAGAGTATGTTAACATAAACATATTTGAAATTCAAAAGGTTTGGCCTGTGACTGTTTTGTTTTTCAACGCAATTTCTGTTATTAATTTGTTAATAAATAATAATTTATTAATACCAATAAAAACAATTAACATGGTTGACAGCAGGTATTTGTACCTCATAACTATTACTTTTATCACCTAATGCTTCACATTTTTCAAAATGCTTTTCATATCTTTATTTCAGCTTTTTAAAAAAATTCATACCTCAGGCAAGTGGCAGGGCAAGGTCGGTGACAAACATCAGTTCTGAGTGTTTCCTGATTACTAGGCTCATCTTTTTAAATTCTTAAACACAAGAGGTAGCTGGAGAAGAAATTATTAGGGAAGACAGAAGACTCTCAGAAGGGAAGCTTGAAATAGACTAGGAACGGTCCGGAATGGTAAGAAGCAGAAACGCCCCAAGGTGGAGTATTACGTGATACTGTGATATTCTTCCTAAACTTGGTATCATACTGGCTGATTGGATTAATAAGGAAAGATGAACTAGTTACCAAGAAATGTTCCCCAAAAAAGTCATAGCACAACCTAGCTCTGCCACTTGCCTAGACCATAACTTATTGAGACTAAATCTCAGACTTATTCTATAAATCAGGAAATTAGAGAAATTAAGAGACTTTCCTATGTTATACAGATAGTTGACTGACAGCTGAAACTGGACCCAAGCTCTCTGACTTTCCTAGGCTAGGACTCTTTTTTTCACCACGTGCCACCTTATAGCTATAACCTGAGGTTCAAGTAAGCCTCCAATGAGCGGAGCCCTGGTAGCTTATCTTAGTCCAGGGAAACTGAAATGGGGTCAAGACTTCGAGAGGCTCACTCTGGGCTACTTAGTCCCTAGCTCATGGGCCCCCATCCCTTATTACCGCTGCCGTCTCTGTCCCCCACCAACCTGTGCGGAGCATCATACTTCCCGAGCCGGAAAGAGACATGGCAAGTTCTGAGGTGAGAAGTGAAGCTACTGATCCTGTCCCCAGGTATATCGCAGCCTCCTCATTTTTCTCAGTGGGAAAATCAAGGCACTAAAATAAGAAAAAGCACTTGTTTTGGTTCACATCACAATTTTACTGGGATTTTGGACAAACATGGGAACAAGATAATATTCTTGAAAAAATAAAATTAGCTCCCACTTTATAACCTTCATCAGAATTAATTTTGTGGAGATTAAAGAGTTAAATGTAAGAGCGGAGAAAAAGAAACAATTAGAAGAATATATTTCTGAATTTGAGATAGGAAAAAAAGTCTTAGCTTTACAAAAGCAATGGAGAAAAAGCAACAAAAGGCAAGGTAATCAACTCAATCTGACAACATTAAAATATGAAAATCTGTAGCTTCAAAACCAGCAGACAAAACTGCAAGGTAAACAAAAAATAAAATACTTGCAAGAGGATAATATATTTTATATTATTATAAAGATAAAAGGTAAAAGATATTAACAAACAATTCACCCCAAAATATAAAATGTCAACACAAAAAAGTATGGAATTTCACTAGCAAACACCAAGATTTTTTTCATCAATCAGATTCACAAAAATGCACAACAAAAAGAGCAAAGCAGGTGAGGTGAGGTGAGACGATCATTTCAGGAAATCAGCAATATCTTTTTACAAACCCTCAAACTGTTGTGACTGATTAACATGTCTATAAATATCTCCTGAAGAAACAATCACAGATACACAGGAAGATAACTATACAAGGACACACATACAATAACTTACAATAACATAAAACGGGAAACAACATAAACATCAAAAATTGGAGGAAAGCATGTGACTAAATAAATCAGCAAATTCATATGTTTAAATCATGGTTTTTGGAGAATACTTAACGACATTGGAAATCACAAAATATAATGTTAGGTAAACATGCTGGATATAAAATTGTACATAAATATGATATCAGTGGAGAGAGGGACAGACAAATGGTGGGGGGCGCGGGGGTGTAGAGAAGCTAATCTCAAAGAGAGACTGGAAAAGGATACATTTAAAAAGCTTGAGAGGGGGTGGGCAGAGAACTTAGATTTTCATTACTTCTTTGCAAAACTGAGATATCTGACATTTCGTATGAGAAACATTATTTTTATAATTAGAAAAATGTTATTTAACCCAATGAACACCCTGTAAATATCTCTCAGTCATATAAAATAATTAAACTATTTACAAAGACCTAACGAGAATGCTTACACTTTAAGCGCAGAAAAGAAGTACAAGACAATATGATCTTAAATAGATAAAAATTGACATTAAAAAGACCAGAAGAATATGCATCAAGATGCTAACAGTGGCTGCTTTTTGACGGTGCTATTGTGTGTAACAGTTTTTCTATGATTGTCATATATTGTTTTCATGAGGAAAAATAGATAGATATCAATATCACAACTGTAGGACTGATACATCAAGAAGATGCTACTATTGACAGTTAAATTTCAAAATATAGAAGGTCAATAGCCACAAAAATCTGCCCTGTCACTAAGGTGTCTTTTTAAAAAAATTTAGGAACCACTGGTATGTCTTCAGAAAATAGCAGGAATTGGTGGGTGTCCAGGAGGTGGGAACGAATAATATTTCTTAGTTGCCAAACTGTTTTCTCCACATAGCAGCAGCTCTGTGAGGGCCACACTGAAGCATGAGAATCTTGACAGTAGGACGTTCGTTATTAGCAAAATGGCAGAGAAGATTGATGGGCGAGGGGTGGTAAATGGCCAAAAGAGGAAGGCAAAAGTTCGTGAAAACAACAGAAGCATCAAGAAAGAAGATTCAAGACATCATTAGATCCAAAATAATTAGAAGAAGGGTCTCAAAGAATTATTTGTATACCTATGTTCATAGCAGCATTATTCACAATAGCCAGAAGGTGGAAGCAACCCAAACATCCAATGAATGGATAAACAAAAATGCGGTCTATACGAGCAACAGAATGTTACTCAGCCTTAAAAAGGAAGGAAATTCTGATACATGGTACAACATGGTTGAACCTTGAGGATATCATGCTAAGTGAAATAAGCCAGTCCCAAAAAGACAAATACTGTCTGAGTCGACTTATATGAGGTTCCTGGAGTAGTCTAATTCACAGAGACAGAAAGAACTATGCTTGCCAGGGGCTGAGGAGAAGGGAGAATGGTGAGTTGGTGTTTCATGGGAATGTAGTTTCAGTTTTGCAAGATGAGAGGGTTCTGGAGATAGAGGATGGTGATGGCTGTTCAATAATGTGAATGCACTTAATGCCATTACACTTAAAAATGGTTAAGATCGTAAATTTTACATTGTATGTATTCTACCACAATGTAATAATACATGTGTGTGTGTGTGTGTGTGTGTGTGTGTGTACACATACCATTAAAGGAAAAAAGAAAGAGAGAAAAGAATAAAGAAAGAAAGAAGTCATTAGAGTTAGTAGTTCTGAAGAAGGCTTTTGACTTGGCAGGAAACACAGTTTAAAGGATGTCAAGGGCGCAGGCGTCAAAATAAAATAGACCTTATTTCTGATACATCTTTAAATACAATTACAGAAGTCAGCTCAGAAACAGAGACGATCAGAAGTGAAAATCAGAAGGGACATTATGTTTAACTTGAAAAGAACATATCAGACCTCTCTGTGGTTCTCTGAGACCCTCTCATTATAGCCAGCTTGAAAAATTCCCCAGGACTAGGAAAGAACCTGCAAGCCCAAGAAACAAGATGACATTTTCCCACCAGCTAACAGGAAAAAACATAACTATGAGGGAAACCCTGAGTGTCCTAAAAACGTACTCTATCCTTACTGCGCCCTGCTATCAGAGGATTGAAGAATTCTGGAACTGGACAAAGGCTCTCAGGCAGAGCTGCTCCAGAGACACCGACACCCGGAGAGCCTGCCCGGGCTCACTCGGTGATGCTGGATTTAAAGACAAACCCCTCGAGCACAGTTATGTTTTCTTTGTCATGTTGTATTTTTTAACAGGCATGCTTTGTATTTTAAAGGCAGCTGATTAAAGGTAAGAAGTATAGAATATTTGGAATACTCTTTTTACAAGTCATTTGATTAATTCCATTCAGCAAATATTTATTGAGCACACAGTACATACCGTACACTATAATACCAGGTACTGGGCTAAGCGCTGAATGGTGAACAGGATGCCATCATCCTTCCTTCACCAAGCTAGCAATTATGATTTAAAAGAGGCATAGGATGCTATTGGTACACCTAAGAGGGGGCTCCCATCTGGTCTAGATAGGTTGAGAATGGAAACCTGTATGAAGTGACATTGTTAATAACAGTAGTAATCATTATTATCATTGTTGCAAACTTGATTGACTACTATTATGGGTCAGATAGAGTTTCTGGGTTTTTTTTTTTAACATCTTTATTGGAGTATAATTGCTTTACAATGGTGTGTTAGTTTCTGCTGTATAACAAAGTGAATCAGTTATACATATACTTATGTTCCAACATCTCTTCCCTCTTGTGTCTCCCTCCCTCCCACCCTCCCTATCCCACCCCTCTAGGTGGTCACAAAGCACCGAGCTGATCTCCCTGTGCTATGCGGCTGCTTCCCACTAGCTATCTATTTTACGTTTGGTAGTGTATATATGTCCATGCCACTCTCTCACTTCAGATAGACTTTTAAAAGCACTCTCCATGCACAAATTAATTTTCACTATAAAGTGGAAATTAAATCTTATAAAGTGGAATTTTAAAGATGAGAAAATTGAGGCACAGAGAGGTCACCCAGTTCGTACATAGTGGGGTCAGACCAGACTGTATCCTTTTCAGAATCTGCCCTGAGGGGAACCCAAACTAAGATAAGACAGGGATGAAACTCGAGGATCAGAATATTCAGCAAAGAGCTGAGCTCTCTGAATACGGGGGTGGTAAATGGAGTAGGAATACGACAGGTAGGAGCGGATGGGGCTGGGAGGCATGACCAGGTGAGTGGGGGAGGGTGGGAGGAACATGAAGCCCACGATCAGCAACCTTGGAGGGCAGCGGTGAGTGATGTCCAGTCGGGATTTTCATTAGGCTCTGCTATGTGGAGGGGGAAGTAAATCTCCTCTGCGTCCCCCTGTGAATCCTAGTGTTTGATGATTTGTTTACGAGGACACATACTCTATAGGGCCCCGATCAAGTTGGGTACAGGATATCACAGAATCGGGTGACAGTTAAGAAGAGAAGTGACACGATGAGGCTGCTTTTCAGAAGCATCACTCTGAATGCAGTCGGGAGAATGGATTGGGGAAGAACATCAATAAGCAGGGAGAGGGATGCTAAAATGCAATAATTTAGGTCAAAGGTGATGGTAACCAAGACGGACACACTGGAGACAGAGTAAATGGATTTGAGAATGGCTGAGATGTGCAATTTTGACCAGATGTTGTTTCTTTGTGGATTTGGAAGATGAGGAAAGAAAAGGCGCAGTAAATCACAGGTTTCAAGCTTGGGTAACTGGGATCAGTTTGGAATCTGGTGGCTATGAGGCGCTAGCAAGGTATCAAGTGGGAATGTCCAGTTGGCATCTGAATACAAAGCCTGGCGCTCAGAGGTGGATAGAAAGAACCTGCAGAGGGCAAGGAGGAGAAAAAGGGAGAGGGGCAGGGCAAGCCAGAGAGGAGAGGACATCAAACAGGTCACGGAAGATACAATGCTAAATATATCTGGCGAATGTGGCAACAGAAGGATAGGTAGACAACCATCAGCTTTGGCCAGAGCAATAGCAACTTGGCCACAGGCGCAGCAGCCACCTGGAGGAGCCCGAGGAGGCGGCAGGGTGAGGAAATGAAGGAGGCAAATTCACACAATTCCTCCAAGAAATTCGGCCCCGGCAGGGGAAGTGAACGGAGAAGCGCGCGCAAGGGAAGGCAATGTGAAGGCCGGTGGTTTTGCTTTCAGTTGGTAAGCCTTGAGTAGGTCTACTCCCTCGTGAGAGAAAGTCAGTGGTGGCTGGCAGGTAAAGGTCAGAGAGAGCAAGTCTCTGAGGAGGTGAGAGGGGATAAGGTCCAGAGTGTGGACACGGGGAAGGGCTCCCCTTCCAGTGGAGCAGGAGGCA